TTTGAAAGAGAGATTGGAGAATTGGGTTAGAACCGCACGCTTAGGATTTATTACGTGTATAGTTTATTACTACGTGATATTGATTTATTTTCCTAAAATGAAATATAACCTCCAATATTTGGTAAAAGGAGTGTTATCGGTATAGATTCTCGTTGAGTTAGTTGTTTCTGTAAGCTTGTACAAATTTTTATGTACTAACTTACTCCCTTATAGTCCTTATATGTGAAGAGAGAAAGAGTATTTTTGGAACTTCTGTTATTCTTGCTTATAAAGAATATATTTTTATGGGTCTAAGGTTTCTTTTATTGTTTCCGGTTCATACATTGTTGGTATCGCCTTTATTGTTGATATTTGCTTCTTCTTGTTGTTATTGTTATAACTTGGCGGCGTGCAACTTCTTTTTACTTCTCCAAGCTAATGCTCTACTTTTGAATTTTTTTTGTTTCTTCTCTATCATAACAAATAAAGAAACTCTCTTTAATTGTTTGCACATTCATTTTGCTCGCCTATTAATCCATCTAGTTGTTTCTGCTTATAGATGTTAGGTGGGGGAGTTGGCTGCCAAGAATGTTTTTTCACATTATATTTCACCATTTGACAGAGTTATTTTATAATTTCAGGTCATACAGTCTAATGTTTGAGAATTTAGCGGGTGGAAGATTTTAAAATGATGAAAAATTGCAGAAATCATTTATTGACCATCATTCGTCTGGATTAGTTATATAATGACATTAGTAATTTAGTTCAAACAATATAAGTTTATTTTTGTAAGTTACTATGACATTAATATTTTTGATTAGTACTTCCTTTTGTTAAGATTTAATGAGATATTTTATGTCGTTTTGAATCAATATTAATATATTTTATTACTTGGAACATATTCTGAACGAATGTAGTACTATTGTTAATGGTTGCTAAACTATTGCTATTAAAGATTGTGACTTGTAGCGCTAATTTAGCTGGATATACTAGCTATAAAATTGGACGATAAAAGGGTAAATTAATATGTTTTCACAAGGGATATTGTAGCCATTATAATTGCTGGAAAATAATTGTCGTTAAAGATATTGACTTTTAGCGGCAATTTAGTTAAACATAATAGCCATTAAAATGGATGCTAAAAGGGCAAACTAAGATGTTTTTAGAAGAGATATTATAGCCATTTTAATTGCCACAAAATAATTGCCGATAAAGATGTAAACTTTTAGCGGCAATTATTTTGAATATAGCGGCTATATAAATGGATGCTAAAGGAATATAGTTAGTCGTTTTGGATTGGATTTAGAAGCCATTATAATTGCCGTTAAAAATAATAAAGTTTAGCGGCAATAAACCATACCTTTTACCAGCTTTGTTAGAAAGGCTGCTAAAGGCTTTGCCGACCCCGGCATCAGCGGCTAAACATCAATGGCCGGTAAAAGATATAGCGGCTATTGTTATTGCCGCTAAAGCCATTTTATATTGCCGCTAAAGCCCCTTTTTGTTGTAGTGTTTTCTTCTGTTTCGGAGCGGGTGGTTGGGGAAGGTTCTTTTCCTCCACGGACAGGGGCCTCATTACAGCATCTTATCTGAGGCCTGTGTGAAAGGGAATCAAGTGAGTATAAAAAAGAAACATTTTAGCAAAAATCATCAAATATGTGAAAAGAGGCTTACCAAAATTTTTGGCCTCCCATCGGCCCCTTGCCAAATCGCGCCATGAGCGCTCAACGTACGAAGAGGTCAAAGCCAGGTCCCGAACCCAGCTCTCGAGGTTAGGAATTGCACCGGCATCCAAGAGACCGCTACATCGTAGAAGGGGATGTCGATGAGAAGAAGCAAAGGAAACAAAACAATAAATGGAAGCTATAGGTGGGATTGTACTTACGATTCATATTTAATTTCTCGGGAAATGGCATCTTCTCGGCCGGGATCAGGTCGGAAGTCTTCACTCGAACAAACCGGCACATCCATACTCGATCTTTGTCCTCATCTATGCTCGAGAACAACACCTTGGTAGCCCGGCGCTGAAGTCTTATTTACCCGCCTCGATAAAGACGGGGGTTGTACAACCTGATGAGGTGGTCGAGGGTGAAAAGCATCCCTTCGACTTTGCTCGCGAAGAATCTGAGGAGAATAACAATCCGCCAAAAAGAGGGGTGGATTTGACCTAGGGTTATTTGGTATTGATGGTAAAAATCGATAATGACGAGATCGACGGGGCCCAGCGTGAAAGGGTAAGTGTAAACACTTAGAAACCCTTCCAAATGGGTAGTGATGTCTTCTTCGTAGGCCGGAATCACCACCTCTTTATCTTCCCAATGACAGTCTTTCTTCACCTGCCCAAGGTCACCCTCAGTTATCGTGCATATGTATCTTGACATTGGCTCGCATCGACCAGGGACCGACGAAGTTTTTTCGACTTTGAAGTCGGAAGTGAGGAAATACCCCCCCCCACCCCCCCCCCCCCAGGAACCACACTCCTCAGGACGCGGCTCCACCGATGTTTTATCGCCGACCGGCCCCGATGAAGAAGCGTTTCCCTTTTGAGGAACAGTTTTTGACGTTTTTGCCATTTTTGTGTGAGATTAAAGAAAGAGGGAGATGACAGAACTTGATGTTTGAAAGGGTATTAGCAACAAACCCTGGAGATTTTGAAGAAAGGAAGAGCTTAAGAGATGTAAAAAGCTTAAGAGATTAGAAGAAAGTGAAAGTAAAGATTGAATCAATGAGAGAAGGGGCCTACTTAATGATTCACGGCGACGATTCAAAGGCACTGGTGGCCGACCACCAATTGACGCTCATTAATGACTTTGGGAACTGTACCGACGGGACATTTTGGTCGCTTTCGTCGCTTACGTCACGAGGATGACGTCATGACAGGTCGAGGTACAAAATTGAAGGCTCAATTCGTTTCTTCTCATTACACTCCAAGAAATGAGGGGACTATCTGTATACGATTATAATCAGGCCTACCCAATTTCACTATTTCATCGAGACCAGGAAGTTGCATCGAAGGTCAGCCTCGTAGTGGATCAGACCAGAGCACGAAGACAACGTACCGAGTTCAAGAATCGAGGTACCTATCGAGTTCGAGGCCAGTAGCGATCGAGACCAAATAGGGCAGACTTCGAGCAAAGCGCAATAACAGAAAAGCGAGATATCCGTGACTGGTCGAAGATCGTGGCGTAAATCCCAGAACAGATCAAATCAAGGGCAGTTATTTAGGTTAATCATGGGATTTACTTCCGTAATTAAAATTGTACCATAGATAGGATTCCTCTACTATATAAAGAGGGTTCTAATCATTTTGTAGACCTGACACTCTGAGACAAAAAAGCAATATAACGCCTTTTCTATGGTCTCTAACTCCGGTCCTAAGGCAGATTGGACGCGCAATCTTATTGCCTATCGCGAACTATGATGTAAACTCAGATTACTGTACTGATGAAGGTAACCAACCTAGGCCACGGACTTTTGTTCGCCTCTAGTTGGTCTTCTTCTTGGCATCAAGAGTAGTCAGTACTGAAAAGGCCCGATTTCCTTTTTTTTTTTAAAGAATATATTTATTACATCAGAAAAGAGGAAAATAGGAACGCGGAAAGGATGTAAGCTACTGTATAAGGCAGGAAACTGATGAAGTGAGTTGACGTCAACTCTTCGGCTCATAAAAAAGTTAACAGTCAGCTACGATTTAGCAAATTTCCTCCTCCAAATGTATCAGACTACCAAACATCCACTAGTATAATACTATAAAGAAAGTCCATTCTTTTTACCATCAACGAAAAAAACTTAATACACAGCCTATATGTTTATTTAAACCGTGTTGACTAAACTGTTCCAAGATTCAAAGTCAATGCAGAAATACTACCGCTAGACTACAGGAGTTCCCAAGAATTACAGCCTTAAGAATAGACAAAATTGAACAAATCAATGACAAGTTGTCGTTAAGGTCCAGTTGTTCCAACTCTTTATGGAGTATATTTTAGCGTTAGAATAACGGAATTATCAGGAAACTTGAAAAGCACTACTCCTATTAAAGAAGACCACTAGGAAACTTGAAAAGCAATACTCCATAGTAAAGTAACATCTTCACCTAATACGCACGGAATCAAGTCGTGCTTTCATGTTTCAGTAGCAGTTAAACTGGTCATAACAGGAACTTCTGGTATAATTAGCATTTCTGAACTGGACGTCGAGAAGCTAATTCCCAGCTGTAAAGAGCTAAATAGCAAATACAGTCAGACCTCTCTATAACAGTATCCCAATATAACAATACTTCACTATAAAAGCCAAGCTTTTCCGGAACCAAATTTCGTGTTATGTTATAATATATGTTCTATATAACAGCGATTCGCTATAATACCCAAAAATATTCGGAACAAACGAGGCTGTTATAGAGAGGTTTGACTGTATATGTTGTTTACTCTCTCTCTCTCTCCCTCTCTCTCTCACATACACATACACACACACGCGCGCGAATCAAAAGGAGCAAGTGATGCACTAAACAATGTTGCCTTCTTGAATAGAAAAATCAGCATTCATGTTCTAACCTATTATGGTGAGGAAACCTAATCCAAAACTCAAGCACAATTCTTTTATGGTAGGTAATGTATATGCACTCCACAAAAACAATCTAGTATATGTGAAAAAGGAGTTCACGAGACTTTTATGGTAGTGTGATATGACATCCACCACCCTCCCAGTTCCCTCCGCCCCTCAAAAGAAAATGCCACAATCACAATATATGAAATGTAGGTTCAGCTTGACAGCTTCCTTTAGACACTGAGATGCCAATTCAAATTGTCATCCATATCCATTGTCCAATGGAACTACACCTAGGACATTAAGTGCGAAGTCAAAGGGTTGAGGGGCAAAAGGAGAAGAGAAGTACTACTTGGATATCATTGCACTTGCAGCTGTGACAGTGGAACATGGTGGCTCTATACGATCCACTGTTCTATTGCAATCATAATGTACATTAGCTACCATATTGTCATGTCTTAACCACAAAAACATAAGGATTGGCTCGGAAGAAATATAACTTTTCTATATGTATTTACATTAAATGGGTTAGCCTCGAAATCAAATATGACCAGGCAAAGAAAAAAATTCTGACCATATTGGAGCTTTACAAGGTTGTTATCCGCACTATGTGCTAAAGTGCTAAGAAACATATACCTAAATCCAGAGAACTTCAACCATATCTAGCTGCCAAAAGGTCAGTGACAACGAGCATATGGTAGCTATTATAAAAGTAGCAATGTTAGAGATGTTAGGTAGCAGTTTATCAGGTTCAAATAAAATGTTTGATAAACTGATGATGCAAAAGAACTTTGAGGAGTATTTGTAGTCCTTTCATCTGATTTTTCTGCATCATCATTTCCAGGCCCAACAGCAACAGCAGGTGGCACACGAGTAGTATTAACGACTTCTGATGGGAAATGGTCTATTTTCTCAATGTCATAACCTGCTTGAAGGCCACAAATCCAAACGAGAAATATAAAAGACCTATGCTATTTGTCTTAGTTAAGTTATTGGAGAACAGAACACTGTAAAAAACACTCACAATCAAACTTCTTCCAACCAAGAATGGCCTTTTCTCGATCAAACACAAAGCGGTACCCAGTCATGAAGTTTTCTGGAAAAAGATCAGTAAGAGCAACAACAGTCTCATATCACAATGTGTAAATGAATAGATCCATTTTTGAGCAGCCCACTTTAAGTATCTTATCAATGATAAACAACCAACATTTGAGTGCTGAGATTAACTCTAGCATTTTTATTGCCTGAGAGTTTATTACTTTGCTAGGAACCTGAAGCATCAATTTCACCAGGTGTTGGGACTCTTTAGGCTACAAAAAGGTGATTATTCTATTCCATTATCAGAAGCCTAACATAAAGAGAAAACCACTTAATTTCAGGGAATTGAAGCCAAAACAGGTGTTATGTCTAACACCACTATTTTGCTGACAACTCTTTTTGAAGTAAAGCCTTTTGGAAAATATAAATCATGAAGTCCTCCAGTTGAACAGAAGCTACAAAAATAGCTGAATGAATAATATACAATGTACAGTATTAGAGTCTCACATTGGCTAAGGATATGTATTGTTGTCTTCTTATATGATCTTAGGCAATTCTCGCCTCATGAGTTAACTTTTCGAGTTGAGTTAGCTTTCCTTTTGTTTCATGCAGCAGTAGAGACAGACTTTATTACCTCACGTGTTTGAAACTTCATTTCACTTCAATCCAATGAAAATAGAAAATTTAAAAGCATTGTTACACTTAGGAAGCTTACGTCCAATTATATTTAGGTCTTGACTCTTCACAACAGCCAGGCAATACACGAGTTGACTCTGCATAGGAGACAGTATTTAGTATTTTTACAGGAAAAAGGCAATAACTGAAATTAAAAAGAAAATATTGTGCAAGACAGTTGAAACATTATACCTGCATGGATATAACAATAATTGGATCATAGACAACAAGCTGGCCTCCCCCTTTCATAGTTAGGCTTAAACTAGGAATCAAGCTCGTATTTGCATCAGGACTGTCCAATATAAATCACAAAATGATAAAACAGAAAGATAATGAATAAAATGTTGTAAAGAAGTGGTTGAAGGAAGGAAAAGATATATATATATATATATATATATATATATATATATATATATATATATATATATATATATATATATATATATATATATATATATATATTATACACACACACATGTACATATATGGCATATATTACCTCATATCATAACAATAATCGAAAGGGATCCTAGGATCAAGTGGGCGCCGCTTGTCTCGTACTTGAGAATGGAACTGTTGAGGAAGAAGACAATTGAATCTTGAACATTATCTAACAATGTGTACAAATAAGTACCATTTGACAAGGATTCTTACACTCTCTGAAAGCTTCGTATAGGATAGGTCAGCAAGATACGTGAAGGATGTTCCGGTATCAAAAAGTGCTGTAAAACCTGAATCAACGAGAGTTGTTCCCACGCGTATTTGATCTACAGAAATGTTATACGTTGGGCTGCAAAAGGTTTTCCACAAGAGCATGGTTAAGTGGATCTAAAAGAATTGGATGGAGCTGACCAGAAAAATTTAAGGTGGTGTTAATGGTGTGATTACCACTTACTGTAATGGGTTTATATTAAAAGGGGTCTCTTCCTGGTCAAAGCTACCCTTGTCTCCAAAACTAATTCGTCCTGCCCCATCATGACCAAAGCACATGGAGAAGGAATCTGCCATAAAACCTTCTCGAGACAGAATACTAGGGACTGATATCTTCTCAAGCCCAAGCCCAAATAAACCGTTTGGTGCCGCAACATCTAGAAAAGAACCAGTCTGCACTTGTCCACAACTGCACACTTGAAATTGGCCTTTATTAGAGAAAGAATTTGAGAATTTTGGCAGAAGCAGAAGCGCTTCTCAGTTACCAAGTTAACCAAAATGTACCTTCCATACAACACATATAGTTAAAAATACACTGCTGGAGATCAACCCAATGGCAATCAACTTCAAATCAATGAGATAAAAGAAGTTCAGGATACTTACCCAAAGATCACACGCGCCTGAACAAATTTTTCCTCATTGTCTTCTGTTCTCAAGTGCAGAATATCATCCACTAAAATTCCGGAAGTTGAAGTTTCCGAGGAGACATAGGACACTGAATAAGGGCAGTGGCTATATACACCAAGGCAATTATTGCGCTCTGTACACAAGCTATTACTGCAGGTGACCTGCTTGCTAGTTGACGAACCATTCAGGCTGTATATGCTAAGCTCAAAATCCTGGAGCAAAAACACAATTTATTTCAGAGGGAGTGAAAAGGAAACGATATAAGAGAACTAAAAAAGGGATTGTATCTCATTTCTCTAAGAACCCTTCTAATTTATCTGGCAAAGCAAAGTTAACAGTATAGCTAACCCTGCTATCTTTAGATTAGAGCAAGATAATTCCATTGAATCATGGGCTATAGGAGGAACCAACAGAATCACCATACACAATTGATGAGTAAGGCTGTGAGGGAATAAAACAAAAAACAGTAAAATGGTAACCCCAACTGGAGAACTAGGCCATAAAAGTCACTTCACAGATCAATTGTTCATCAGTGCCCGAAAGATGCTATAGGGTAGAACTAATTAGTTGTCTGTTCAAGTTGACAATAATGGGCAAGTTAATTAGAGAACCTGTGATCTTCGTCTACTTCACAAAATAATGGCATCCAAAAATGTACAGCCCACAACTATTATCCCCTTGTAAGTGGTGATTTTCTAGTTTACTGTACAGATGTCTCATTAGAACATCCAATTACACTCACAAGTTTTAGTGTACTGCATTCTTGGAGGCACAAAAAGTTATAGATACTAATGCAAGTTTGCAAATGGATGATAATTGTTTTCACTATTCACGCGAAATGGAGGTCACAGTTAACCATTCTGTCACAAGAAAGGTCTTATGAAATTTATTAGCTCCCCAACTTTCCATCATATGCATCTTGTGCCTAAATAGCACACAATTCATGGATGCAACAAATGGTCTAGCTGTCAAAGGCACTTTTTAGTCAATCCTTTATGTTATAAAATGCTGATTGCTAAGTACCATTCTAGGAATTTCGCATAAAGCTCAGTTTGTTGAGAGCTTTACACCACAATGTCTCACTCAATCCTTTCATATGTCCATATAATTACAGACACCCAAAAAATTGAAGGGGGGAAAAGTAAAACATACAAAGCTGTAAAGTGTAGGATCATCAGTAGAAGCACATTTGCCGCATTCACAAGGCACCCAAAATAAATCACTCCCAGTATCAAGCGCCACAAGAAACTTCATCCCCGGTGTCCCCAACGTCACTGTAGTGTAATGCAAACTACAAAAACAAGATTTTCAAAATTAAACACAAAATTACTCTCAAGAAATAGCAACCCAAAGAATATCAGAAAAAGGGGGATTTGTTCGGACTTACAATCCAAGAGAGCTGATCCGGAAAGTGGAATTGCCATCAGAGAAAGTGAGTGGTCCGTCAAATTTGAAAAGCTTCCTACCATGTAACAACTTATCGTGGTTGGCCAACTGAGTATAGTACTGAAGACTTCCTTTGACCGGCCAATTATGAAGTGGACCACCTATTTTCTGCAGTGACCATTTCTTGACAGTTTCAGAGAAACGATGGTGCATTTCAAATGTGAAAACACGGCCACTGCATTGTCTAATTAATAGCAACGTTAGAAAGAAAATAATGAAAGAAGACATTTTTCTTTATCTCTAAGAAGTGCTTAGAAACTCAGATCTTGAACTGTAATGGCACTGATTGGGTAGACAGCTTGAGAGTTAGGTTTTCAGAGGGAGAGTCAAGAAAAGGAAAAAAGAGAGAGAAAAGGATTAGATTGGGAGCAGAGAGTAAAGTTTGACAGTTGTGTGGAAGTTCAAGAAACTCCATTATACTGAGCCGACTGGGATCTTCATGGGGTAGTTTCCTGGTTCATTGTCTCATTTTCCGAAAGTAGTAATTTTGCCAAGTTGAGAAAATTTTCTGAGATGATTGCCTTTTTTATGGATTTGGCATTTTATCATTTATCACTATGATGGACCAATATTATCATTCTTTTTATTGGGGAAATAACACTATATAATCGTTCTAAAAATAATATCCTAATATTAATATTTTTTTTTATATATATTGTATATATATACATTTTGTACAAATTTTATATATTATTGTCGGCTATCGAATGTTAATAGTTCCTGGCTCAAACTAAAAGTGAAGAAAAATTTACCTAACTACATTATAAATAGAAACTTATTTATCGCTTTTATTTAGGTTCCTTGTTAATTACATATATCTATATTTACAGGTTATATACAAAACCATAAAAATTAAGATCCCTTAAATTTAGCCACTATGAGTTACACGGTAC